AAAACAACTGTAGACTTTTCAGTTAACTACAATTAGTATGATAAGAGCAGAGAAAAACCTGCATTTCTTCATCCTTGTAAAACTTGACTATTAAGTAAAAGGCTTTAAGTCAACTTACTAAAAACAGAACATCTTTGTAAAATGACAAAATAAAGTTATTTTTTACTACTAAATAAAAAATATTTTTTATTTTTAGTGTAATAAAATCAATCGTTTTATAGTTATAGTGTTGAAAAAATATTTCTTATCAACTGCCTCTGAAAAATTTTCATAAATACTATTTTTAACCAAATACTGATGTGAGACAGTTCCATGGTACAACACAGGGCTTTGTACATAATAGATGTTTAGTAAATGCTTGTTGATATGTTGAAGGTTTACATAGTATTGACTTCTTTCTGTGTAACATTTACTTTTTCTAGTCAAGTTTTCAGTCGTTTTTACTATATTTTGATTATTATGAAGCCCCTTCTGTTACTTCTATTTTATTAACTTTCTAAAACAATTTTTATTAGGTTTAATTCAGGCATAAAAACTTGTTCTAGGAAAGTATACTAAAATATATTGTTCATATTTGAATATAAAATATGTTTATACTTGAACTCTTTCCTGTTTAAATATTTCATATCTGGAAAGGTAAAAAAGAAACTGTTACAATGGTGGCTTACAGGGCCTGGGAATGGGTTATGGGTTAATTCGTTCAGCAAATTCTTTAAAAGTGTCCATTCTGTGCCAGATGTTACACAGTGTTGGCTGTGCAGTGGCAACCAAGGCAGACATGATTTCTGTCTTTGCTAATCTTATTACCTAGTGGAAGAGCCAGACATTTTATATTACATATATTATAAAATGTTATATGTGTATATTATATATAAAATATATATTTATATATTCTATATAAAATATGTATTATATGTAAAGTGCATTTCTACTATCCTTTGCTAATTATGCTGTGCTTAGATTATATATATTTTATATTATAAAATATAATATGCATATTTTAATATATATAATATGTAAAATATTAATATAAAATATAAATATGAAACAAATAAAAATATATAAACTATATATTATATATATAATCTAAGCACAGCATAATTAGCAAAGGATAGTAGAAATGCAATTTTGAAAACCTTAATTGTAATAGCTTCCTCAAAGCATGAAATATCAAAGCAGTTAACAAACATCATATATATACACACACATACACATACATATATGTACATATATACATACATACATACACATGCATATACACCTGCATACATATTTACTTACAGCAATGAGTGATATGAAAGAAAGAAAAGGATGCTATAGAAGGATTACAAGAGAGAACTAATTTAATATGAGACGTTAGGGAGGCCTCTCAAAGGAAGTGATATTTGAGCTAAAACCTGAAGTGTGAGTCAGAGTTATCTAGGTAAGGAGTGGAACAAAGTGTTCCAAGTGGAGGATCTAATACGTGCAAAAGCCCTGAGGCAGAAACAGTTTGGGATTAGGAGAAGAACTGAAAGAGGACTAGTACCTACCACAAAGTAGAGAGGGGAGCCAAAAACGGGATGAAGATTCAAGGAGTGACGAGGTCAGAGCATACAAGGCTTGGTAGTTTGAATCTTGTTTTAAAGCACAATGGGAAATTATTGAAGGATTTTTAAGCAGAGGTTATGTTTGGGTTTTTTTTCTTTTCTTTTCTTTTTTGAGATGAAGTCTCACTCTTACCCACACTCGAGTGCAATGGTAGGATCTTGGCTCACTGCAACCTCCACCTCCTGTGTTCAAGCGATTCTCCTGCCTCAGCCTCCCGAGTAGCTGGGATTACAAGCATGCACCACCACGCCTAATTTTGTATTTTTAGTAGAGATAGGGTTCCTCCATATTGGTCAGGCTGGTCTTGAACTCCTGACCTCAGGTGATCCGCCCACTTTGGCCTCCCAAAGTACTGGGATTACAGGTGTGAGCCACCGCGCTGGCATGTTTGGGTTTTTTAAAAGACCTCATTGGTAGCTGGAAGGGAGAAAGGGTAGGAAGTGCCCTAAAGCAAAAAAAAGTAATCCAGGTGAGAGATGGTGGTGACTTGGATTAGGGACAATTCCCTCCCTCCCTCCCTCCCTCCCTTCCTTCCTTCCTTCCGCGCTCCCTCCCTCCCTTCCTTCCTTCCTTCCTTCCGCGCTCCCTCCCTCCCTTCCTCCCTCCCTTCCTCCCTCCCTTCCTCCCTCCCTTCCTCCCTCCCTTCCTTTCTCCCTTCCTTTTCTTTTTTCTGGTGAAAAGATACACATATATTTAGAATTAGCTAGCTGGACTCAGTTTAGATGATCCCAATTTTTTTGGCAACATCCAAAGCATCGTAATCAGGAGCCAGTTGAATATAGGCCTTCTCTCCATCAGGCCGAATCAGGTGTTGACCTTGACTACATCAGTGTCATAGAGCTCCTTCACAGACTGTGATCTGGTGCTTGTTGGCTTTAACATCCACAATGAATACAAGTGTGTTGTTATCTTCTGTCTTCTCATGGCCAACTCAGTGGTCAGCGGAAACTTGATGATAGTATAGTGGTTAAGCTTGTTTCTCCTGGGGGCGCTCTTCGGAGGCTATTTGGGCTGCTTCCGGAGTTGCAGTGTCTTGGGCTGCTGGAAGGTGGGTGAGGTACGGAATTTTTTTTTTTTTGGTGAGTGTAGACACCTTTCAACACTGCCTTCTTGGCCTTCAAAGCCTTTGCTTTGGCTTCAGCTGTAGGAGGGGCAGGAGCTTCCTTCTTCGCTTTAGGCGCCATCTTGTGAAAAGGGTCAGGACAATTTCTAGAAGGATTAAAAGATTAACACTGTTTTGTAATGAGCCTAAAAGAACCATAATTTTCAAGTGATTTCTCATGATTGTCAACTAAAAATAAAGTAAATTTGAATAATCAAAGATTTGAAATTCTGTATTTATTTCTCTAAAATCAGCTTGATTGATGAGAAAGGTACTATTGTTTGACATTTTAATTTTTCCAGTTTCTGATATTGATGCTTTATTTTGTATAAAATGGAACTGTGGTAGAATATTTACTGTTCTGTCACAATAGACTTGCTTTAAATCCCATCAAAGTACTATATGTTCAAAGTATAATCATGTTAAGGTAATAATTTTAGGTGTATTAGAAAATATTTGTGTAGAAATATTTATTGTAAAGCACATGCATTTTACACTCCATGCACTACGTTTTGTTTGGCCTCTATGTGTATATATGTATTTACATTCCTATTGAAACCCGAAGAAGGTGGTGTGTATTTAAATGTTACTTTTACTTTATTCACATGAGTGTGAATTTCTGTGTAAGTATGTGTCTAAAATTGGTTTAGAAACAACACAATCAGTTTTGGTCTGGTGGTGCAGGATGAAGTGTATATACATTTACATACTTACAAATAAGTTGCTTTGAAATTAAAGTAGGAGATTAAATGTCGTGTGAATTGTTATGCAAAATCTAAGCACAGCATAATTAGCAAAGGATAGTACAAATGCAATTTGTTAAAACCTGAATTGTAACAGTCAATTAATTTCCTCACAACATGAAATAGCAAAACAACAAACATCATTTGTCAAAAACAGTGTTAAGGCCGGTTAAAGAACTACAGATATCAAATTTATAAATTATAACATTGAAAACAGAATGTTCAGTAGTGTTTAAAGATGTTTTGATATCGTTTACAGATTTTTTTTTTAACTGATTGATTTGTTTCAATAAATTTCCCAAAGTCATGTTAATACTTTCCCCTTATGTATGTTTGGGCTTATTAAACGTTTTAGATGTGAGATTTTCCTACTCTGGACAAAGTGAGTCTATTGGAGAAAGAATCCATTCATTATTAAAGCAGGGGAAAGTAAGCTAATATACATATATGTGTATATTATACATATACATATATATTTTCCATTCTCTTTAAAAAATATTGTGTTAAAATATATATAACAAAATTTTCCGTTTTAACCATTTACAACTGTACAATTTAGTGGTGTTAATTATATTTATGATGTTGTGAAACCATCACCACTGTCTATTTCTAAAGCTTTTCCATCACCCCAGAGAAACTATTTTTAAAATAAAATCTTTATTGAGATATAATTCATATACCATAGCATTAACCTAAAGTTTATGATTCAATGGCTTTTAACATATCCACACAATTGTACAACCATTACCATAGTTAATTTTAGAACATTTTCATCACCCCAAAAGAAACCTCTGTATCCATTAGCAGTTACTCACTATTTCCCCCAAATCCTCCTTCCCCTAGCCCAAGTCACTCAGGAATCTACTTTCTATCTCTATAGATTTGCCTACTCTGGGTGTTTCATATAAATGAAATTTTAAAATAGGTAGGTTTTGTGACTGGCTTATTTTATGTTTTCAAGACTTCTCTATGTTGGAGCAGATATCATTACTTCATTCATTTTTATTGTTGAATAATATCCTATTGTATGACTATCCCACATTTTATTTATCTATTCATCGATTGATGGACATTTATGTTGTGTTTGCTTTTTGGATATTATGAATAATGCTGCTGTGAACATTTGTGAACAGGCTTTTGTGTAAACATGTATTTTCATTTCATTGAGTGTATACCTAGTAGTAGAATTGCTAGGTTATGTGGCAGTCCTATGTTTAACCATTCGAGGAACTGCCACACAGTTTTTCAAAGGGATTTGCTCCATTTCATAGTCTTACCAGCTGTGTACAAGGGTTCTCATTTCTCCACGTCCTGGTAACACTAATTGTTACTGTTGTTGGTTTTTTTTAAATTATAGTCATCCTAGTGAGTGTGATGTAGTATCTCATTGTGGTTTTGATTTACATTTACCTGATGGCAAATGATGTTGAGCATATTTTCATGTGCTTATTGGCCGTTTGTATCTTTTCACTGGATAAATGTCTATTCAGATATTTTATTTTTAAGTCATATTATTTGTCTTTTTATTATTGAATGGTAAGAGTTCTTTATATAGTCTAGATAGAAGCCTTTTATCAGATATATATGATTTGCAAATTTTTTTTCCCATTCTGTAGGTTGTCTTTTTGTAATACAGTTGACACCTTACAACATGGGAGTTAGTGGCACTGACCCCCGTGCACAGTAAGAAATCTGTGTATAAGTTTTGACTCCCCCAAAACTTAAACTACTAATAGCCTACTGTTGACTGGAAGTCTTACTGATAACGTAAACAGTCTATTAACACAGTTTGTATGGTATGTGTTTTATATACTGTATTCTTACAATAAAGCAAGCTAGGGGAAAAAAGATGTTATTAAGAAAAACATAGGGAAGAGGAACTATACTTCCTATTCATTAAGTGGAAGTGAATCATCACAAAGGTCTTCATTCTTGTCATCTTCACTGTGAGTAGGGTGAAGAGGAGGAGGAGGAGGGGAGGTTGGTCTTGCTGTCTCAGGAGTGGCAGAGGGGGCAGAAAATACATGTATAGTGGACTCCTGCAGTTCAAACCTGTGTTGTTCAAGGGTCAGCTGTACTTTCTTTTTGAGATTCTACTGTTGCTTCTCTCTGATTTCTAATTATATCATGACTTTATTTTGGGAAACTCTGACCTCCTTATGGGATGTGCCTATCAGTGATAAACTGAGAAAGGCTTCTGTGCTGGCCAAGTCCATTTCGTACCCCTTGGCTCTGTGCTGTAGAATTAAGGAAGCATTTATTTTGTTATCTGCTAATATACTAGACACTGTGACCAACTTTTGGGAATAAATATAAGATGGAAATCATTCTCAGTAAGCTTATAGTTGAGCGAACAGATCAGGGAAAGTTGAGTTATCAGGAAAATCACTGTGTCTTTATAAACCAAGGAGAGTTTATTTTGTTAGATTTATGATATTAACTTGCAGATTATAGAAAGAGACTCGAATATCACTGATTATATTATACTTCATGGTCTGTAAAAAGTAGTCTAGTACAATGACAAATGGTCTGTTTCCCCTCATTTCCTTTCCATTGCCCATCATTGGAGCTCTTTGCTCAGTCTCTCTGGGCCCTGGAAGTTTACATTGGTTCCTTATTCTTGTCTTTTCCTGGGCTGTTTCTTTTCTCTTTCCTTATCCAGGTCTGTCTGGGACCAAGACCTACCTTCTCATGGCTCACTACACCCTCAAACTTCTGGGCTCAAGAGATCCTCCCACCTCAGCCCCCAGAGTAGCTAGGACTACAGGTGTGTGGCACCACACTCAGACAGCTGACTGGTGCCTTTCTGATTGTCTTTTTTTCCTCTTCAATTAGTGTAGTACTGTTAAACCTTGTGTCTTAGTTTATATTCTCATATTTAAATGCTTAGTTGCTCTCGTAGTTTGCATGCACCATAGAGTTTGTACTATTTACTTCTTTGGCGCACTGTGTGTGCAGCTGAGTAGAAGCAGCATGGTAAAAGCACAGTGTACTGTTCTAACTTTGCAAAGTCAGTTGAGAAAATGATAGAGGGAAGCACTTTGGGCAAATGGGCAAAATAGAGCAATGGGTTAGCAAATGCAGGAAATGATATAGGTAATTAAACAACCTGATATGTTGAGTTGAAGGCAAATAAAATATACAATTTTATAATTGCATTTTAGACTATTTAAAAATGCTCCTTCCTCTTATCCCCAGCCTTTTCATTAGATAAGCAGTTTTAGTTGCTAACCTGGAACTCATATATGTTTAAAGTCTTTCATTTCACACATGTTGCTTAAATATGTACATGTAGTTTTTGCCTTAGCTACTGGCCTAATAAAAGCCTCTTGTGAATGCTTATCACCTTGTAAAGTAGTTACCAGAGCTACAGTAAAATTTGCCTGCAAGTGAAAAGGCTTTGACTTCCCTAGAGGAAGAATAAAAAACATACGAGACAAATAGCAGCAACGAAAATTATCTGGTGCAGAATGTGGCAGAATGCCAGCCAAATGCCCTGTCCCTCAGATGTTTCACACCTTTATCTTAATTCGCTAAAAAGGCCACCTTGTTTAAAGAATTTCAAACACAACTTGAGAATGTCTTATTGTTGGCTTTGGCACAGTTTACACATACAATCCTCTTTCTTATTGCTATCTTCAGGTATTAAGGCCCTATAGATTCAAGAGATTTTAAAAAAATGTTTATATTTCTTTTAAGTGGAGTGCATGTGTGTGTGTGTGTGTGTGTGTGTGTGTGTGTATGTGAATTGTTACTGGAAGTTATTGCCATGTTTATTTTAGGTACTTCATACCTCTAATTAGAAATGATGTTTATTGTTAAGTAGGCAAAGTAGCCTTCAAGCGCATGGTGAGAAATAGTAATGAGATACTTTAGCCATTAGGCCATGAAGACTTTTCCCTAAATAATAGGGAAGGAATAAATCCTAGTATTGTTTTGGAGTTGCTACAGGAGAACAGAAGTTATTTAAGTGAGAGAGTTTCAGAAGGCCCCACTATAGTTAAGTATATTTAATTTAATTAGGTAATCAGTATTATTCTTACAACTATTAATGGCACCTCATTTATTTAACACTTGCTATATCATAGAATATTTCAAAGTGCTACTTTATTTGATCCTTTCAGAAATCCCTAGAACAAGGCAGGGCAAATGTTTTCATCTTGGTTCATGGATGAGGAAAACCAAGGCTCAAAGATATGCAGTGACTTGGTCAAGGTCACAGAGTAGTAGAGGATGGCTCTCTTTCCATTACAGTGCCAGTCGGAAAGTGTCAAATCTTAGGTTACCGTGACACTTAGTAATTATGAAATATATTTTTTCCAAGAAACAATAAACCTTTTAGGCAATTGAAGCTGCCAAGAAGGCTGCCAGAGGAGTAACTCAAAACGGAACAGAGATGGAGGTTTCTGGTCCTTTCATCTCTTGCACTGAGCCCACTAGGTCAGGGTTTCAGGAAATGGGAAATCATTGTTACTTGCTAGGTTGCCTTATTTCTCCATTTAATGGAGAACTTAGTCTTCATTATTTTCAGTTTAACAAATAATTTTCCTTAAAGGAAAAGAAAGTTTTGCCTGTGTTTTGGGGAAAATGTATAGAAATTAAATCTAAATCATTGAATTATTAGATGATGTGACATTTCTGAACCAAAAAAGTAGGAAAACAATGCATAATCATCTAATGAAGTATATGTTTTATGATTATATGTTATATGTTTCTTGTTTTGTTTTGTTTTTTGAGACGGAGTCTGGTCTGTGGTCAGGCTGGTGTGCAGTGGCATGATCTCAGCTCACTGCAACCTCTACCTCCCGGGTTCAAACGATTCTCCTGCCTCAGCCTCCTGAGTAACTGGGGTACAAGCGCTTGCCACCACACCCAGCTATTTTTTTTTTTTTTTGTATTTTTAGTGGAGTCAGGGTTTCACCATGTTGGCCAGGATGGTCTTGATCTCTTGACCTCATGATCTGCCCGCCTCCCAAAGTGCTGGGATTACAGGCGTGAGCCACCACACCTGGCCTATGTTGTATTTTATAAAGTTATATGTTTTATTATTTACTTTTTATTATGTAATTGTTTATGTCATAAAATTATAATAATTCCTCAAACCAAATTATATTCCATAGATTATAACATATACATTCGATACACATTTGTAAAATAAAGATTTCTATAAATATGATAGACTAACAGTGATATTTTGAAATCTGCTGCTGCCACAGACCTAGATAACCATTCCCAGATTGGAATATAAATTAATCAATGGTCTTATTGTTAGAGCTGCTGTAATGTTTTGAGGGGAGCAAGTGAGGAAGGACTTATTTTTGGCTTAGATTTACATTTACAGCAAGGTTATCAACATTTTTCTGTGCTGATACATTAACATTAATGATATAATCATAATGCTGATTTACACATTTACAAAATTCCCATCTATTACCTTCATTCCTGTTAAAATATGATCTATCATGTTGTTCTTTGGGGGTTAGAAGTACATTTATAGACATATAAGTATATGTGTATATATGTATTTGTATATACAAAAATTTAAAAAAATTCTTTTATTTTTAGGAGCAAAAATTTGGGGGAAATAATGTAATATTTATCAGACGGATACTTTAGGATTTAGCTCTATCAGCCTGGAACCAGGCAGGGTCATCAGTAAGTCTAAGAACTGTCAAACTTCTCACACTCCTAACTCCCTCTTATATCCCTCTTTTTCTGGCTGTACTAGAGATATCCTATTACACATGATTTTCTTTTACTCTGGGCTCTTCTTCACCCAGATCAGTGTGATCGCATTGCACTGATTTCTGTATTTGCTTAAAAAAAATTTCCCTTAATAATGTTTTTACATTTTCTAGCATGAGCCTTTCCATACTTGGTATTGGTGTTTTATAATAGATCTGAGGAAAAATTTGTGGGGGATTCCAAAACAAATTCAATTTATCAGTTACTTATTTTAAATGTTAAAATAACCGCAACAATTCCACAATAAATAGAGTGAAATTTGATGTGCTAAATTAATTTAAATGGTTTTGACACATTTTCCTTGAAGGACTCTTTTCTAGGTTTTTATAATCTCACCTAAGTGAGGGTACAGTGTGGTTTAATTACATTCCAGCAGTGCACACTTTAATAGCCAATATTCCATGTGAAAGCTATGTGTCTTCTCTGGGTTTGAACTGTTTCTGCCTAATCCAAGGAAAAATATTTGAGGAACATTAGTTAATGCATTTTCCAGGAATGGGAGTGGGTAAGCATTTTTTTCATGGCTTATAGAATATTTAGCAATTTTAGCTTCCAGTACTTAATTTTATAGCGTTCTCAGTACTGGTGGCAAAGGCTTCCTTCAGAAAAGTGAGAAATTATGTGAATTCCCCTCTTGGCATGCTTAGGAAGGCAAGTCATAAATCTTTACTCTCATATTTTTCTAAAATAAAACTGGGCATTAATATTTGCTGTGATCTAATATGGAGATATGATGAAAAGATTTATAAAATAGCATATATTGAGATTTTTGTATGTTCTCATAAAAGGTGCTATAAATTGAAACATTTATTACACAGAAAACATCTAAGATAAGATTATTATTTTCCAGGATAGTTTATCTAAGTTCTGTAAAACTTTTAATAATGTAAGTAACTACTAATGAAAGGACGTTATGTGTCACATTTGCATTCATAAATATCCATGAAGGATCTCTTTCACCAATGTTATTAAGTCTCAGTCCAAGACAAGGTCAGACATTGATTATGTTTGACATCTTAACAAAAGTGAATAGGGAAGATAAATATTCTTAATTATACTGCTAGAATGGTGAGAGGCCGCGGTCTATAATGTATGGTATAATATATAAAGAGGAATATTAGCAAAATAGAATTATGGTCAATTGCAATTATAATAACTTAAGTATCTTCTACTACATACTAGCTCTTTATATATGTCTTATGTAATGTAATTTGAAGTAATATCTTAAGAAGTTTAGGTAGTATTTATACCCATTTGCCCAAATCTGGAAACGGAGTTTCCAAAAAATTAAATAACTTCCTTAAAGCTGCCCAACTGGAGTCCATTTCACATACATCAGGCTCTACTAAGCTGCTTGTCAGTCTTTGACTTCCTCATGATCAGTGATAGATATGGTATTGATAATGTACAAATTGTTTATTCGGCCCAGAAATGTGTTTGTGCTTTTAAATTTGAACTGATTATCTTTGGCAGTTTGAAATATACAGTACTCGATAGAAAATAGTAAAACTCCGCTCAAATTAGAATAGTTACCTGATTTCTTGATTATAGCTTCTTTAATGAATGCCCATTTTATATTATACATGGTTACATATTTTTCTTATATTTAACAAACACGTATACAACACTGCTGTGTGTAAGGCACTGTTCTAAGTAGTTACAAACATGAATTCATGTAATCCTCACCAGTATACCTATGAGGTAGGCACTATTTTATCCCCATTTTACAAATAAGATAAATGAGACACAGAGAGGTTAAGTAACTCGCTTAAAATCATACAGCTAGAACATGGCGGAGCTGAGATATAAATCCAGTCAGTTTGGCTGCAGAGTGCTCTTAACTGTATGTATTTTTCAGATATTTCAGAATTTGGTGAATTTGGTGAAAGCAATAATTGTTCTAATCCTATTGCTGGATTTAAAAGTAGGAAAGAGTAAACAGAGATAGCAAACAGTATCAATAAAATATTAAATAAGAAGTAATGACCCCCATAATACCTTGAAATTCCCTACATTAAAAAT